CACTGAGGGTTGCGATCCGTTGCCGGACACGAAAAAAAAAAACAAAAAAGGGAAAAAAAAAAAAAGATGGAAACAACCCAAATGTCCATCAACAGATGAATGGATTAAAAAAAAGTATGTATGAGTGGTATACACATACAATAGAATATTATTCAGCCTTAAAAAATAATGAAATTCTGCTACATGCTACGAAGTGGATGAACCTTGAAAATATTTTAAGTGAACTAAGTCAGACATTATGATAAGTGAAATCAGTTAGTCATAAATATTCTGATTCCACTTATATGAGGTACCTAGAATAAGCAAATTTATCAAGATGGAAAGTAGAATGGTTGGTTGCCAGGGGCTGTCCGGGGAAAGAAAAATAGAGAGTTACTTTTTAATGGGTACATAGTTTCTGCTTGGGATGATGAAAATGCTGTAGAAATGGATAGTGCTGACTATTGCACAATGTTGTGAATGTACTTAATGCCCCTGAATTGTACACTTAAAAATGGTTAAAATGTTATTTTACTGCAATAAAATTAAAAAAAATTTTTTTAATCATTGCATTCCAAAAAGCTAGATTATACAATAAAATTGTGTGGCCACATTTCTTAATAGTAAAAGCCCCAGAATATTTGGTTGAGATAGCAGTACCGTGAAGAGAATGATGAGATTATAATGTTCTTAAATTTACATAGAGGTTTAAAGTTTTGAGAGTACTTTTACGTTTACTACTGCATCTTACCCTCACAGTATCAGTGAAAAGGAGGCATAATAAATATCATCAAAGGATATGACTCAAGGTCATGAGACTAGAATTAGGACTAGAACTCCAGTGTTCAGTTGCTTTTCTCCCATACCACAAATGCCTCTCAAGCATGTGATGAAAAAAGTCAAGCTAACAAATGCTGAGTGTTGTAATAATCATAATATTATGTCTCCAAGTCACTTTTTAAAATCTGAACAAATGCAAGTAAGATACAGAAATGAAAATATAACCTCATTTGACTTGCCTCTCAAGCATGTGATGAAAAAAGTCAAGCTAACAAATGCTGAGTGTTGTAATAATCATAATATTATGTCTCCAAGTCGCTTTTTAAAATCTGAACAAATGCAAGTAAGATACAGAAATGAAAATATAACCTCATTTGACTTGCACTGAAAATTGTGCTTTACAATAAGACCATAAGAAGTTCTCTTTGATTATTGATGTTTGAGCCATTTTCAAGATTATAGTTAAACTCCATCCCCTTTTACTATGCTTCTTTGAGCAAGTTTAGTTCTTCTTATTATGAAAATATAATTACACTATCATCAAAGATAAACTTTAGATTTCCTTCAAGGAGGCGAAATGCCCAGTATGAAGAACATTATTACACTTCGAATGTTTTTAAACCCTCAGATTTAACTGCAGTATTGATTTTATGGGTCAATAGTATTTTGTCTGTCATCTTGATTGTAGTTGTTCCATCATAATTCTTTTTTTGGTTTTTCTCAGTGCCATTAAAGTTATAAAGAATGGAGTGAAGTTATAGGAGGGCAAAATTAGTTGATAAATGATAGCAATTTGAAAAAATACACCAAACAGATGCTGATTCCCCAGTCTCAGTGCTCTGAATATGTAGTTGCACCGTATGGTAATAATAACTAGTTTTCCTTTCTCAGGTTTTAAAAAAGTATGCTACATCCAAACCAGACAAATAATAGAGGTATTAGAACCACCTGTGGTGCAGAGCAATGAAATAAATTATGTTAGGATATGATCCCATAAGTTTTCTGGAGGACCGTGTACCTTCTACATCTTTATATAAAGAGGTATCTTTCAATAGGTTAGAACAGATAGAATATAGAGTAAAAAGATATTGAAAAAGATATTGCCTTTTCCCATGGGGTTGCTATTTCCACTAAAGACAGTATGGCTGTGATTCTCAGAAGAAAAGAGAAACAGATAAGGTTGTATCCCTTGAACTGAAGCCATAAAAGGACAAAAAGCCTCAACTAATCAGATACCTTGGCAACACAGAAAATCTGAGGGCAAAAATCTTGCTTCAAGATACTATCAGAATAATCCAGGAATCCCAGAGACCGGGACTGTCTCCATGAATAAAGTTCTATCATATTTAACTAAACAGGCCTATGGTAGGCCTAGGTTAGTAATTACTAGGAATAATTGTACTGAACTAGGACGTCCCTGATATCTCCAGAGGTTCATTTCCTATTAACCTTCGCCTTAATAAAGACACTTGCGAGAGTCTGCATCCAAATTATTTTTAACACAAGATACCAATATTAACATCAGATATCATGAATCAATTATCTAGTTTACTTCCATGATTATACCTCTGGAAGCAGAAAAGTCCTTTTTATCTTACAGGTCTCCAGAGGAGGAAAGGGCAGAGTCAGCCCATGTGCACCCCACTAGGCAGTACCTGAGGCATCCTCCACAGAAATTCTAGGGTTCACACAGACAGTTTGAAAAACACAGTTCTCGAAGCTTAACTGATGGCACTGAGGTGGATAAATTATATCAAATAAGCAAAAATACATAAAAATCCACAAGAGTTCCTAAAGAAGATAAAAATGAAACTAAAACTTGAGCAAAAATGATTAACTTTATCTTGTGTAAGACAAATAGAACAATGTTGAGTTTTTCTCATACAAAGGAGAGGCAATGGGAAGAACTTGCCATAATAGCATGACTACAGAAGGGTACTTCAGAAAGTTCATGGAATGATTCATATTCTCTTGTGATTCTATCTTTCCATAAGCTTTTTGAAGAATCTTCGTAGTATACATGATTACAAAATA